TTTTTGTTTTCGATTTCTCAGAGTCGATTATTAAGGATAATCGTTAGAACTCTTCGGGGGCTGCCAGAACTCTTAAGAAATTGCCGGATTTCCGAAAAAATTTTTCGACTAATATGGACTCGAAAATTTTCAAAAAATTTTTTTGGAATTCCGGCAATTTCTTGAGAGTTCTGATGGCTCCCCAAAGAGTTCTATCAATAACCCTTAATCAAAATTGCTAAAATGAAAAACAAAAGAGTTATGGCCTTTTAAAGTTACAGAAATGTGAAATTGGACCCCCCATGTCTTTAAATGGTGTTTTCATCGCTTTAATCAACGGAACTTTCTAAAATCGATAGAGAACTCTAGAACTCTTCGGGGGGCAATCGGAACTTTTTTATTTTATATATATATATATATATATATATACATATATGTATATATAAAGTAATTTTGATCTTCTAATATAAATTTAACTAAACGACATAATTCCATCTGTTAACAATTTATGTAATATTTAAATGTTGTTTATATTTTATTCTATTAGCTATTAGCTATTTTATTCTATTCTATTAGCTATTTATTATAAGCCATTGTAATTAATTACAATGTGGCTTATAAACAACAATTAAATATTACATAAATTGTTAACAGATGGAATTATGTCATTTAGTTACATTTACATTAGAAGATCAAAATTACTTTATCAATAAAATTATACATATTAAAATTAATATTTTTTATAGAGATGGAACTTTACGGATTAAATCAATTTGGATTAAATTAATATGACAATTATTTCGATTATTTTGAAAGTCGAAACTCTTGAGCACCGATGAGATAAAACTGGACGCGAAAGGAGGTCAAGAGAAGAAGGAGGAAGGGATAAAGAAGGAGGAATGGATACGCGTCATAGAAGATGTTGCACATGCTAAAATATACTGCAGAAATTTTGAGCAGAAAGGATATAGACAGACAGACAGACAGACAGAGAGAGAGAGAAAGAGAGAGAGAGAGAGAGAGAGAGAGAGAGAGAGAGAGAAGATATCTGAATATGAGATCACACGGACATCCGGTTTCGAGAGTGAGCCGGGTTCACCGAGTGCGACTTGTCAATGGGAAGTGCGTTATCAGCGTGCGCGCGATGCCTCCCCATCCTCCCTTTTCCAGTTCTCAACTTCCAGCTTTTGTCTCGCTTGATCTCTGACAGTTTCGTCGGAGGGACCTGATTTTTTAACGAACGCGAAAGTCCCGGGGAAGTAGGTCGCGAAGATTAACTTAGAGCCCGTCACGAAGAAGGAGGGAGACAGCTGCTGTATCATAAT